TATGTGTTTTCTTCGTTAGCACTTTTATGGATTACCTTAATCTAAAATAAACACAAATTGGGCTGGCCCGGTGGCGCACTGCTACAGTGCACCACTTGGGAGCGCAGCGGCGCTCCCACCGAGGGTTCGGATCCCACATACAGACCGGCCGCTCACTGGCTGAGCGAGGTGCGGGAGCAACACTGAGGGTTGCGATCCCGTTGCCGGTCCCGGTCCGGTACGGGCGCGACACTGAGGGTTGCGATCCGTTGCCAGTCACGAAAAAAGACAAAAAGGAAAAAAAAAATTATTTCCCTCGAAAATATAAATCACTGTGGGAGAGTGCCACATTTAACCTATATCTGCTACTAGTGCCTCCTTATGAATTCGTTGATGAGATCCTCCCTAACTGATAGGGGCTGAAAGCAGTTCCCTGCAGAATGAATCATAGAAGCAACGTCCTTTGGGACTGTGAAGGGGTGAAGTGTCAGAGAGAGAAACAGAGTCAGGGAAGAGAGGTCTGGGTGGGGATGTTTTCAGAGGGTTAGGGTCAGCATTGAGAATACTTTCCATATACTTCACAATTTTACCAGGAACCAACTAGGACTAAGGATAATAACATAAATTCGCTTTTTGAATAAATATTTCCCAAATACCCATCTCAAGCCAGGAACTAGATTAGACTGTGAGGATTAATGCAACAGAGAGCAGGTGTTCATTATCCTTGCCATTGCAGAGTTTACAGTATAGCAGGGACATGGACATTATCAAGTAATTAGAACCGTATGTTGCTGTGAAAGAAGCTATGTGACTCTGGAACCCAGTCCAATCTGGAAGATTAGAGAGTCCTTTGCGTTCAGGTAACTGAATTGGGTCCTAGAACCCTGAGAGAAGAACAAATGAGCAGAGTTATTGCGCTTACTGTCATCACTTAAATCAATAATCAAGGGGCTCTCTCAGAATAGCATTTTCAGGGGAAAATGACAAAATAGTTTGCTTTGTGTTGAAATTCTCCAAATCTGCTGACTCGGCTTGCATTGGTAACTTCTCTCGTCTTCACAGAAAATGCATGTCTTCAGGAAGACCTTGCAGGCACTGATCTACCCCATGTCCTCCACCACCCCACACAATTTTGAGGTCTGGACAGCTACGACGCCCACCTACTGTTACGAGTGTGAAGGGCTCCTGTGGGGCATTGCCCGGCAAGGCATGAGGTGTCTGGAGTGCGGAGTGAAGTGCCACGAAAAGTGTCAGGACCTCCTAAACGCTGACTGTTTGCAGAGTGAGTACTTGGTTAGGCTGAAGAAGTGGTATGCAGACCCTGCCCTGTCCCGTACATTTTCAGCTTAGATCTCTTCAGCCCTTGCTGGTCTTCAACAAATCCTACCTGCCCCCATCCTGCCACTTTCACAGAGATATAGCCGTACTGCCCAGCAAGTCCTATAGTTGATGATGCATTTCTACAGTGTTAGAATCCTGAGAGTGAGTATCTGGAGGGAAACTGCACTCTCGTCAAGTATAAAACTTCAAAGTGACTTCCAATCTATTCTCTCACATGTATCTCATAAAAGTCTCATGAGGCAAGTGGGAATATGTAAAGTCATGTTCTCCAAACAGGGCTCAAGACACGACCTAGCAATTACAGCAACAGGAATTATTTTCCAAGCTTATTTGGAGCCTGTCTGACAGGATCCATGTCCTTCTACAGCTCCCACATAGGCCTTGGAAATAAGGGATCTTGGGTTTGAATGTCAAAGACAAATGTAACTTACCAGATATGTGATCTTGGGCAAATTTTTAACTTCTTGGGGCTTCATTTTCCTCCACTGAATCAATAAGGATAGTAAAATTTACCTGAGATGGTTATTGGGAAGGCTAAATGAAATTGTCTCTGCTAAGAGTCTAGCATATAGCAGCCGCTCAATGAATATTAATGGCCTCTCCATCCTTTCACACTTCTAAATGGGTACATGCCACTTTGATTTTTATGACAAGTTTTCTAAATTTTCCATACTTTGTCTGATACTTTAGGTTCAGAAATGCCAAAACATCACACTCTAAAATACATATAATTGATGTTTCACTGCTGTATTTAATTGGTAGTGTCACCCCCCCAAAAAAAAATTGCCAAAGAAATCTACTTAAACATGGACTTTCATTTGTAAATTATGTTTTTTTTTCATATCTAAATGTTGTCCCCTATATTTATTGTTTATGTAAATGCAGCCAATGTAAGGTATACAGATTGCCTGAAATTGAGGTGGGACAGAAGGATGTGTCAAAATAAAGATAAAATCAGAAATGCTGGCACAGCTGGTTTGTTGTAGTCACAGTCACACATTCTACAGTTTTCTCTACCTGGTTAGTATTTTTCCCTACGCAATCAGATCAGATTGAGGCTGTGTTAATGATAATAAATGTATTTTTTTAGCAAAAAAAAAAAATGTTTCTTTGAAAAATGCAAAAATATATTTAAGAAAGATTGCTTATAAGAAAGGGACTGACTCAATATTACTCATCCAATTTATTTGCAAAATCTCATAATTCAATTAAATTTCAGCCCACTTGTGTAAAAAAGAATTATAAAGAGGTATCTTAAGAAATAAGCATATTAGGGCAGTGATGTCTGAGAAAACAGAGAAAAAAATATCGCCATCTAAAAGCTTGAATACCTTAGAGGAAAAAAATAATGCAGATTATACCTAAAAAATAGGGTCATTCCTTTTTTAGTCTTTCAGAGAGGAGAGCCAGCCATTCATTAAATTTTAGAAATATTTCTATAATCTGTTTCTACTTCTTAAAGTAGCATGTATGAGTATCATTTGATGTTGGTTAAATAAATTACACAATCCGAAATTTTCACTGAGAATATTCATTCAACTACACATGTAAATTGGAAGAATCAAAAATAGTGCAGAACGTGAGAGTATGTGAACCCCAAGAAGGGAGTATTTTCTTTAATAATCCCTTCTTAAATTTTCTGTAAAATCAACACACTCACATTGATCAGAAAGAGGTTCTACAAATATATGCATTTAACTTCAACTTTCCACAATAACTATCAATAAAATTTGGAATTCTCCCTACAAAAGCAGGGACATTTCCTTAAGAAATTTCTTTTATTTATTTTTTTAAGTAAGAAATTTGTAACGGTGACACCATGTGTAAGATAACTGTATGTGTGCCAACACTGAAGAAAAGAAATTAAGAGGAATCAGAGTTGGAAGATATAGCTAATTTAGCCTCCTGTAAATGTAAGAAAATTCTATGATTTCCTTTTAAAAATGGTCATCTAATCTCTTTGAACACTTCCAGGGAAAATTTAATACCTTAGTAGGCAGTTTAACTCATTATTAGAAAATTCTAGCTCGTAAATTAAAACGAAAATCAAGGTCTGCCTCCTAGTAACTTCTATACATTACACCATATCTTACCTTTGGAGAAAATATTGAATAAATTGACTTCTATTATATATGACAGTTTTTCAAATACTTGAAAATAATTATCTAGTTTTCTTTGGGTTTCTAAGCCCTCATTATTTCACTAAACCTTTTCTTAAATCATTGCGGTCAATAAACACACACACACACACACACACGTACACACATACACAAAGAAAAGAAATTCTTTACATGTGGTCTGACCAGTGACCCATGCAGAAAAGAGAGTATGTAAAGTTACTTCGAGTTGATTTGAGTTTGTTATTTCATTCCCTTGAAGTCTTGGGTTTGTGATTTGCACACTTGCATTCAAGGGGAGTTAGACCAGGGGACTGTAAAATCCCACTCACTGCTCCAGTGCTTCTTTGCAGTTCCGAGAAGCCTGGAAATGTCCAGTCAGTTCCCAAACAGCCTCATCCCGGTTCCTCTCTACCTAATTTTACTTGGTGGTGGTTCTAAATTTACTTCCTTCCTGGCCCAAGGCTGACAGCCATAGGGTGGTAGATAGGAACAGAGGAGACCAAACAGAATTAGAGAGAACAACCCTTGAGAAAAGAGAACTGATTTATCTTACCCCTTCACTTCCAAGTCAGTGGCAGCAGCCAGAGTCCACCTGCTTTTTCTTTAATTAGCTTATTAAAGTCCTGTCATTTAAAAAGACATTTTATTCTTTTTTTGGAAAAGCACTTGGCAATGTAAAAATTGAATTATAGAAAAAGGGGAGCAAGTTGTGACGCTGAATGCTATTAATGTAACCTGTAAGGAATTTGCCATAGCACTATGGTAGCAGTTTTGAACTAGGAAAAAGCAAAAAAAATAAAAGGGGGGGGGGAGGGTTGGCTGGAATAAGGGTTGTATGAAGAGTGATACAAATGTAAAAGAGGGAGCATATGTAAAATATTTTCCTTGATTATCTTTCAAAGTAGAAAAGAGACAACTACAGACATTTGAAAACTATGCAAATAATCATGGTATCTAACCCAGTTGGGCTGTACTTCTTTACACATCTTCAAAGAAGGAATCCCAGAGTCCCACTAAATAAGCATTCTGCCTAATTTTAATTCCTAATTGAAAATTTTATGTACCTGCCTAAGTCCAGAAAGTATTTCACCAAAGGTTTAGCAAAGTCACATCTGATGAAATGTATTATTTCAGTTTGTTTCCCAGAACATTCTGTTAAATTTATGTGTCTTAATATAAGCCATTGCAAATTCATAACACGAATAAAATCTGGCTAGCATATTTTTATTTGCAAGTTAGGTATTGATTCTCTTTTCTTTGTTGTTTGTTACCATATTTTGTAAGCATATTTTAAGACAGTCAGGTATTTGTATATATTGGGAGTTTATCTGGGCTTTCAGAGCTAGAAAGAAAGTAAGCAATATTCTCCTTGGACTCAATCTCATTTTCTAAAACATAACCCAGATGAACAAATATGAACACATATCTTGGAAACTTTTGACATTCTACTCTTTCAACAGCAAATATACAAAATATGTTTATGTAATGAGTACTCAGGAAGCTTAGAAATAGAATTCTGTTTATCCACTGCTACAGGACAGAGACCATCATACTCTTTATTTCTCCAGAACTTAACATACATTTAAGTACAGGAGATGCTTAATAAATACTGGTTAAGCAATGAATGAAGGCATGAGAACTACTATAAAAAATATGCTGTAATGGTTTAAAGGTCATTTTTCCAAGCAAGTATACACTACTGCAAGAGTTTTGAAATTAGTAGATTGGAAAACCCCATCTGCTGTTTTAAAAATTTAGTGCCTTATCAGAAAAAAAAAAAAAAAAATCAAGTGAATAGCATAGGCAGGGTTAGAACCCCAATCTCTGAACTCCCAGTCTAGTGTTCTTTCCAAACTTTTAAAGAAATATGCAAAGTTGGTCCTAGGGAAAAAATGGAAAGTTATTGAATTTTATTTTCAGTGCTTTCCCACATTCTCTTATGATACCTTGGCTTGCAGACATTCTGTGCTGTCCAGATGCTGGCTTCCCAGAGTGCCCCATCATGATGGCTCCTCAAACCCTGCCATCTATAGCCAACTCACCAATATACCTTCAATGCTACCATCCCCATCTCAAACATAATATTGCACTGACTTTTCAATAGCACCAAAAGGGAAATGATCTGATAAATTAATTTGGGTAAAAATAAAATTAATAGTTAAGTTACCTTAATACAAAAGTCAGTTCATTGGCCCTAATAATGGGGCATCTTCCATTGCTGGGGTTGGCTTCTACTCAGGCAGATGAGTATCCTTACATAATGTCATACAAGTATTCTGTATAATATATGCAATGAGTATCAATGTATATGTTTTTTCACAGTCTTGAGGTAATTAAATAGATTTGACATCCAATCCTGTTGCTACTAGAATTTTTTAAAACCTCCCTGAGGATCAATTTTTTCATATGAGGGTACTTCTAAAAGTCTGTGGAAAAATAAGGAGGAATATATTCTGATGTTCTATTGCACAGTAGGGTGAGTATTGTTAACAGTTAAGTTTTGTATATTACATAGTAGCTAGAGGAGAGCTCCTTTAATGTTTTCACCACAAAGAAATGATAAATGCATGAGGTGATTGATACATTAGCTACCCTGACCCAATTATTATACAATATATATAGGTATTAAAATATCAACCGTACCCCATAAGTATCTACAATTACAATGTGTAAGTTAA